GTATGTATGTATGTATGTATGTATGTATGTATGTATGTATGTATGTATGTATTTACATTTATTAGCTGACAAACTCTAATGGACTCCAACTAAACTAAACCAATAGATCAATTTATAGTGAAAGAAAATGATTCTGTCAATCTAATTGGTAGTGATATGTATGTTTTTGGGAGAAAAGGAAGGCTGTTGCTCCCCCTGCATTCCCTATTTTATATGACCTTGTATCTGACCCATAATGTGGTGCAGCAGGAATTTCAGCTTATGAGATGTAGGATGCCATATAATTATTTCTTCCTTTTCTGAAGCCTATCTCCTCAGAAGGGACCACCAGAATGCATGGACTTTCAAAGAATAAATGGCAGACTGAAAACAGCTCCAAAAAGTTGACCTGACAATGGCAGCAAAATAGAGTGCTGAAAAGTTGTCTGACTCTTTAATAATTCCCCTCTGGACAAGGAGAAGGCTTGAGATCATACATAAGTGTTCCTGGCAGCTGATGCACCCTGTGAGAAGACAACAAGATAACAGTCTTTGGCAGGTTTAAAGCTCTGGGAAAGAAGGGAATAAATTTGTTGTTCAATCCATGGTGACCACTAAGTTTGCATACTCATTACCTTCAGAAATTTCTTGTTAACTGCTTTTCAGCTGTTAGGAAACTTTCGATAGATAGGTTTGATAGCACTGGGTGAATTTCCTTTAATCCTTAGTGAAAGAAGTTTTAACTATAAGATTAAGAACTTTTTTCTCATATAAGCACTAAAAGAGTAACTGAAACTACAAAATGGACTAAAGGTCCAGATAAATTTGAAATAATTTTTTGGAATTAATTATAAAGAATCCTTCCTGTGGTAAAGTGCTTTAGTTTTTGTTATTGTTTTGGTTAAAAATAATAAGATTTTAAGAACTGAACACAAGAGGAACTAAAGATTACAATTAAAAGAGAAGAACTCTTAACCCTAACTCTAACCCTAACCTAGCTCAACCTATAAAAACTCTTAAACTCAACAGAATGAAGCAAAATATTTTAACACTGGCAATCTTGAAGAATATTTTTGAACAATGGATCCAGATG